TAATGTAGTGTTGTAGGTAAAATATACTTCAAAGTCAAACAAACAAGCAAACAAACTCATAGAAAAGAGAACAAACATGTGGTTACCAAGGGGTGGGGTGTTGGGAGGAGAGGGCATTAGATGAAGACAGTCAAAAGATACAAACTCACAGTTATAAGATAAATTAGTACTATTGGTGTAACGTTTGTGCATGCGTGCTCAGTGGCTTCAGTCATTTCTGACTCTGTGACCCCATGGGCTGTAGTCTGCCAGGACCCTCTGTCCATGGGATTCCTCAGGAAAGAATACTGTAGTGGGTTGCCAAGACGCGGGGGAGCGTCCCGACCTGGGGATAGAACCCATGTCTCCTGCATCTCCTGCATTGCAGGTGGATTCTTTACACACAGAGCCAATTAGGAAGTCCAAAAATTGTTTAACAGGCCCAAGAAAGATGACAAATATAATTAATACTGCTATATGTTATATGTAAAAACTGTAGCGAGTAAATTCTAAAAGTTCTGTCATCACATGAAAAACATTTTTTTCTATTTCTTTAATTTTGTATCTATAGAAGATGATGGATGTTCACTAAACTTATTGTGATAATTGTTTCATGACATACTTAAATCATTATGCAGTACACCTGAAATTTATATAGTGCTGTATGTCAGTTATATCTCAATAAAACTGGAAATACTAAATGAATTATATCTATTCTAACTTATCATTAATTACTAGAGCCCTACAGGAAATATTTGCACCATCCTGTTCATTGCAACTTTGTAAAAAAATTTGCTGGTAATGATCATTTTCTCTTTCAGCCTAACTATTATGCATTCTTCAACAGTTCTTCAGGATCTAGGATCTAGGGTGGTTTCTAGATCCTTCTCCATCGTGGCCATTGGCTGTGTTCCTCTGGGTGAATCCTGTTGTGTCAAAGTTATAGCGTCACATTTAGAAAACATTTACAAAGTAAGCTGAATGTGGACAGGCTTCCAGCCAGAGAAGAGCCCTGGCATCTCTAAGTGAAAGGCACACCCTTCCACTGGGAAGAGCAAGTGCAGACTACAGGTTCTGGCTGCAAACAAAGCAACTCCTCAAAAACAGGTACACGAGTGGAGGCGGGAGTTCCTGAGGGTGGTAAGACATCCTTACCACTACTCACCTCGCATGTCACAGTTTCACGTTTAAATTTAGACCCTACTTTTTCTTCTATACTTTTTTATTTTGCATTAAGTGTACTCTGGCTCCCCTGGTGGCTCAGATGGTAAAGCATCTGCCTGCAATGCAGGAGACCTGGGTTTGATCTCTGCATTGGGAAGATCTGGAAAAGGAAATGGCAACCCACTCCAGTACCCTTGCCTGGAGAATCCCATGGGCCGGGGAGCCTGGTAGGTTACAGTCCATGGGGTCCCAAAGAGTTGGACACAACTGAGTGACTTCACTTTCTTTTACTAAGTATACTAGGGAAGAACAAATGTGACTTCATATTGGATCTGCTTCTTTCACTTTAACCTTTGTATTCTAGTGCTTTTGTTATAAGTGAACCACTAAAGGGGTGTTACCTGTAACTTGAAGTATACATAGGGCTTCCCAGGTGGCTCAGTGGTAAAGAATCCACCTGCCAAACTGGACATGCAGGAGACTCAGGTTCAATCCTTGGATGGGGAAGATCCCCTGGAGAAGGAAGTGGCAACCCACTCCAGTATTCTTGCCTAGAAAATCCCATGGACAGAGGAGCCCGGTGGGCTGTAGTCCACAGGGTCACAAAGAATCGGACACACCAGAGCATGCATGAATGCAAAGTATACATGACAGCCCACCTCTGGGAACCCTGGCTCCCATGTCTGAATGTTGGGCTAAAATGCCTTTGTTTAAGCAGGATGGAAACATCCTGACCAGGCCCACTTGTAAATGGCTGCAGGAAAGAAGAAATTAACAGTCCCCTTTGGATTATGGCCAAAATCAGAAAATACTTGAAAAATTTATCACCTTTTTAAATTTTACCTCCTGCTGCTGCTGCTGCTAAGTCGCTTCAGTCGTGTCCAACTCTGTGCGGCCCCATAGATGGCAGCCCACCAGGCTCTGGCATCCCTGGGATTCTCCATGGAAGAACACTGGAGTGGGTTGCCATTTCCCTCTCCAATGCATGAAAGTGAAAAGGGAAAGTGAAGTCACTCAGTCATGTCTGACTCTCAGCGAACCCATGGACTGCAGCCCACCAGGCTCCTCCGTCCATGGGATTTTCCAGGCAAGAGTACTAGAGTGGGTTGCCATTGCCTTCTCCGTTTCCTCCTGACACCTCCCCTACTTTATTCTATAAAGTAAAGTAGCATCCAAACCTAGACAACACAGTTCTCTAGTCCACCATCTTCTAGGTCTGCTGGCTTTCCAAATGAAGTCACCATTCTTCCCCAAATGACTCATCTCTTGATTTATTGGCCTGTCATGCAGTAAGCAGTATGAGCTTGGTCTCAGCAACATAAAGAGGGGACAAATGGAATTCTAGTTGGGCAAGCTAGACGTCAACAGTACTTGAACTGAGAACTTCCAGATGTTCAAGTTGAATTTGGAAAAGGCAGAGAAACCAGAGAACAAATTGCCAACATCTATTGGATGAAAAAGCAAGAGAATCCCAGAAAAACATCTACTTCTGCTTTATTGGCTATGCTAAAACCTTTGATTGTGTGGATCGCAACAAACTGTGGAAAATTCTCAAAGATGTGGAAATACCAGACTACCTTACCTGCCTCCTGAGAAATCTGTATGTAGGTCAAGAAGCAACAGTTAGAACCAGATGTGAAACAATAGACTGGTTCCAAATTGGGAAAGGAGTACATCAAGGCTGTATCGTCACCCTGCTTATTTAACTTACATGCAGAGTACATCATGCAAAATGCCAGACTGGATGAAGCACAAGCTGGAATCAAAATTGCAGGAAGAAAAATCAATACCCTCAGATATACAGATGGCAGCACCCTTATGACAGAAAGTGAAGAGGAACTAAAGAGCCTCTTGATGAAAGTGAAAGAGGAGAGTGAAAAAGTTGGCTTAATACTCAACATTCAAAAAAGGAAGATCATGGGATCTGGTCCATCACTTCATGGCAGATAGATGATGAAACAATGGAAAGAGTGACAGACTTTATTTTGGGGGGCTACAAAATCACTGCAGATGATGACTGCACCCATGAAATTAAAAGACACTTGCTCCTTGGACGAAACGCTATGACCAACCTAGACAGCACATTAAAAAGCAGAGACATTACTTTGCCAACAAAGGTCTGTCTAGTCAAAGCGATGGTTTTTCCAGTAGGCATGTATGGATGTGAGAGTTGGACCATAAAGAAAGCTGAGCACCAAAGAATTGCTGCTTTTGAACTGTGGTGTTGGAGAAGACTCTTGAGAGTCCCTTGGACTGCAAGGAGATCCAACCAGTCCATCCTAAAGGAAATCAGTCCTGAATATTCATTGGAAGGACTGATGCTGAAGCTGAAACTCCGATACTTTGGCCATGTGATACAAAGAACAGACTCATTGGAAAAAACCCTATGCTGGGAAAGATTGAAGGCAGGAGCAGAAGGGAACGATAGAGGATGAGATGGTTGGGTGGCATCACCACCTCAATGGACATGAGTTTGAGCAGGCTCCAGGAGTAGGTGATGGACAGGGAAGCCTGGTGTGCTGTAGTCCATGGGGTCACAAAGAGTTGGACACGACTGAGCACGAACTGAAATGATGTGGGCTTTAAATTCCTATGACCTGGAAATCCATTCTCTTTACCCAGTTCCAATCCAAATGTGTCCTTCGGGCTTCCAGATTTCTGGCCAGATGGTAACAAGGTTGTTGCCGCACAACAGTGAGTGTAGAATCAAGAGCAGAAGAAATGTTCTCCAGTGCTGAGCACCTCTCATGCTCACTCTGTGTCCCAGGATTTATTGCTACTGTGAACTTTGATCGTCTAATTCAGGCAAACTGGAGGATCCCAAGCAAGAGATCTTTCCTCAAAATGATGACATGTCATTAGAACCCAAAACTCTTTTCCCTCTATCATCCTGCCTCTCTTTTCAGTTAATTTACTTCATTCTTTTACCACAAATTACAAAACTGACATGAAGAAATGAATACTGCTAGTACCCTAAAGCATCCAGGTCAGATAGAAAGCCCTTGAATTGCACAACTGCCTTGAAAGTATTGGGGAAAGATAGCTGTGTGCACATTACATTTGACACAACTTCGGGGTGAAGCAAGCCATCATTTTATTTTTCGGATTCTGTAACCTAGCTTTTGCATCTACGTCTAAACTTTAAAGGATAAACAGCTTTTCAATCAATGGAACCAAGGCAATGAAAAGAATACTCATTGTCAGGGTCTTGAGTTTACATCTCCAGTTTGCCACCAGCTCAGAACTGTACAGTCTAAAGCTGCATCAGGTCTCAGGGATAACCTGGTGCAATAAAATTTAGAACCCAAGAGGTCATGACAAAGTCAAATCACAACTTGCCTATTAATCCCACACTTTTTTGCATGCACAGTGCTTACTTCATGTGTAACTGTGCCTTCTTTGTTTAATTGGGTCTCAGAACAAGGCCACAGATATTTGCTTGTCGCATTTAATACAACTTCATCTTGAGATTTGAGGTAAATATCTCCTTTATTAAAGAAAAGGGGAGAGGAGGGACATAAATGATATCTTAAAAGTCTTCTACCAAGAGTACTGAGTGCCTAGCAAAAACAGATTTGAAGGACTTTAGAGAAATATGGATGACTTCTAACCAGCTGATAAGAAAAAGGTGATGTTGGAAATGCCTCATCAAAAGTTGATTTCACCCACTATTCTGAGCTAAACTATACTGCATGAAAGAGTCTGGCACTCAGACAACTCTTAGTAGTCACTTAAGGGAAGTGAGGGTGTGTGAAACCATTTCCCACATCTGCATGTCAAAATTCTGGCAGATCAATAGGGCAGAAGTAATCAAAGTTAGAGCAGATGCTAATGAGAGTGGCAGAATCTCCAGTGGTTCAGATGATCCCAAACTGAGCGAGCTCGTGCAACTCCAAGTGGCTGAATGCCTCCCAAGGACAGATCACAGTGATATCTGCAAGAAAGAGAGAGAAGAACTGATAAGCCAATCTCACTCCCCAGAAGAGCCTCTTCTGCACAAAAGGACATCATTCAGGCAAAGACACCTCGCCCTTGTCTCCCATCTGTTGCCCAGATGACGGGGAAGAACGGCCCTTCATCACAGGAGGGATCAGAACAATTGTTTCATTAATCCTCTTCGGGGCTCTGATTCCACCCAAACAGGCTCCCCCAGGATCTGTGTTAGTTTTATTTGGCATCCTTTCTGGGGAGATGCTCCAAGATTTCGGACTGGGACTATTCTGTGGGAGTGTAGTCCTCTGATCATTTGAAGTCTCACCAAAACACTAAGGAGGGGACAGAGGTGGAATTCTAGTTAGGCCATGGGTTAAAGTGAGAAGTTGTTGTTGTTTAGTCGCTAAGTTGTGTCTGAAACTCTCTGTGACTCCATGAACTATAGCCCTCGAGGCTCCCCTGTCCATAGGATTTCCCAGGCCAGAATACTGGAGTGGGTTGCCATTCCCTTCTCCAGTGGATCTTCCTGACCCAGGAATTGAACCTGTATCTTGGGGCACTTTAAATTCGCATGGTGTGGAAATCTAGTTTCCCTACTACCTACCAAGCAGATAGGTTTCTCTAACTGCTCTCAAGCTCCTTTAGGTATTGTTAAAAATTATAATATTGTTCCCAAGTTACAGAGAAGCTGGCTGATACCCAAAGAGGTTAAATACCTAGAGAAAAAAAAAAACTCATGGTTGTAGAGACTGAACTAGAACCAGGTCAAAGACTTCAGAGTTTCCTTCAGAATAAACCTCTTGTCACTATTCCAAATAGTTTGGCAGAGTCCAAAGTGAATTTTCTGGTCTTATATACATATGGTCAAAATAGAGAAGCATTTGATTTAGAAGAATAGCAGATGAGTTTTATCAAAGTGACTAGAAATTCTATTTGAGATCTGAGGAGTGGCAGTGGACAATAAAAAGTAAATAATAGGTATGCTTATGACTGATTCATGTGGATGTATGGCAGAAACCAACACAATATTGTAAAGCAATTATCCTCCAATTAAAAATAAATTTAAAAAAGTAAATGTACTGAGAGTCGTGCAGAAAGGAAACTGATTGCTACGAATGCCATCATTTGTCAAAAGTGTATTGGATAAGTTGAAAACTTGTGTCCATACACAAAACCTGCACAAAGAAGTTTATAATAGCTTTAGTCATAATTGCCCAAACCTGGAAGCAATCAAGATGCCTATCAACAGGATAAATAAACTGTGATACAACCATACAATAAAATATCTAGTAATAAAAAAGAGATGAGCTATCAAACCATGTCAAGATATGGAGGAAGTTTAGATAAATATTACTAAGTGAAAGAGCTCTTACTATACAATTCTAACTGTAGGACTATCTGGAAAAGGCAAAACTATAGAGCAGGAGGAGAATGGGGAGACAGAGGATGAGATGGTTGGATGGCATCACCAACTCAATGGACATGAATTTGAGCAAGCTCTGGGAGAGAGTAAAGGACAGGGAAGCCTGGCGTGTAGCAGTCCATGGGGTCACAGAGAGTCGGACACGACTCAGCGACTGAACAACAACAATGATAGAGACAGTAGAAAGGTTAGTGGTTGTCAGGAGTTTATGGGGAGAAAGGACTGAACAGATAGCACACAGGAGATCTGGGGGCTAGTGATTCCATATAAACCTGTAATGGTGGATACCTAAGAACTGGACAACACAAAGAATGAACAAGCTATTTCAGCTAATAAAAATGTGTTAATGTTGATTCATGAAGTATAACAAATGTACCACACTAAGTGCAGGAGGTTAATAATAGGTGGTACGACTGATGTATGGGGGAAGAAGGTGGCAGAGGGGATCTGTAGGAATCCCTTAAAAATTCTGCCTAATTTTTCTGTAAACCCAAACTTTCTTTAAAATTTAAAGTCTATTAATTTTTTAAAGAGAATATGAAGTAGTTTGCATGTATTATCCAACCAATAAAAATTTTAGCCAATTAAAATGTATTACCCCAGATACTTTAGTGTCTAGGGCCCTGTTCTGAGTGCCAGAGGATGTGTAAAAAAGAGGAAGCTTGTGAGGGAGTGGCTGGCCCGGTGGAGAGGAAAGGCTCTCCAGGCCCCACCCTTGTTTCCAATAGCTCACTCTGTAGCCTCAGATTATCATTTAATTCCTCTACGTTTCCGATTTCTCTCCTGAAAAATAAAGGAGTTGGGCTAGACTCATTCTGAGAATTGTTCTACTGTGAATGTCTACAATTCACTATTGTATGCCTGAGAGAGAGAGAGAGAGTGTGTGTGTGTGTGTGAGTGTGTGTGTGTGTATGTGTGTGTGTGTGTGTGTACACTCAGTTGTGTCTGACTCCTTTGTGACCCCATAGACTGTAGCCTGCCAGTCTCCCCTGTCCATGGGGTTCTCCAGGCAAGAATACTGGAGTGGATTGCCATTTCCTCCTCCAGGCGATCTTCCTGACCCAGGGATCAAACCCACGACCCATCCATCTCCTGCATTAGCAGGCAGATTCTTTACCACTGTGCCACCAAGGAAGCCCACACCTTCTAGAGTATATAACAAAACACAAGGATTCATTGAACTTTGGGACTAGCCTGATTTCTCTGAGTTTTTGCCTCTGGGCACATACATACTTATTTAGGAAGTTAAATTAAAACCCTACATTCCTAGGTCTTCAAAAAAAAATCTGCTGCGTTATGTATTTCCAATGACGTTGAACTGCTCCTCGAGGCCAGAAGCAGAAAAAATGGTCAAAGTCCGGGGGTAAGATTCTCACTTAAATATTCAGATCGCTCACCTGTTCCTAGTCCCTCCATGCCTGGAATGTCGTCTCCAAACCTATGGAAAAAACACAAGAGAAGTTAGCTGATACTGGGGCCAAAAGATCCTGGAATGAGTCATGTGAAGAGTTTCCTGATTCACGGAGGAAAGAAGAGGTTTCAGTTTTTGTATTTGAGAAAACCCTTTTGTGTGCACTGAACTAGGGCAAAGGAAGTGTCACTCAAACAGGTTTTAAACAATGTGTCCCAAAAGAGAGAGTTTCCCTCTGTAAAAATGTAACCTAAGACAGTTGAGAGCCAGGGGGGAAAAAAAAATCGGTGGGGCAACGTGGTCAAGCTCTACTTTTTAAACTAAAAATTGGAATGAGAAAGCAATATGGAAAGTCATTAAAATGATTAATTTATCCATTTGTTTAGTTTATCCAAAAGTACATATTAAGCATCTGCTTTGTTCCTGGAATTGTATTAGGTACTGAGAGTTACGGAAAGAACAACACACAAATTTTCTCTCAGGGATCTCAGTCTCAGGGAACAGACGAAAGAAAGAGATGTACTATGAAATAGTGCAAGTTACAATAGCTGAATGTACAAAATGCAAACATGTAAGGAATGATAATGTTTGTCTAAGGGAGTCAGTAATGGTTTCCAAAAGAAATTAACATGAGTGTGTGTTGAGAAATAAATCAGATTTTGCCAGGGAGAAAAAGATCAAAACAAAGAACTGAAGAGAGAAAATCTGAAGCCAGAAAAATAAACTGTGTGTTCTAGAAGCAGCCAGTGATTCTGTGTTCCAAATGAAAGCACAGTTTACATCAGCAAAGGAGAGTGGTCAAGAAGAGTCTGGAAGGTCAAGCCAAAGGTCACTGTGAAAGGGTCCATTTTCCATGTTAAATGTGGCTGTATATGTGGGAGCTGAGAGAGAAAGGATTCCGGGACTGAAAAAATATGATTCAGCAAAGATTGTGTTAGGCAACAGAGAGTGAGGTGGAAATTTTTATAGGTCTATTTAATATGGTGAGCATTAATCTCTCAGAAAAAGAGGAAACCTTCTTTTTCATTTTGGTCTTACCCTTTCACACCTTTCTTAGGAGGCTTGCTCTTGAACTGACGAGACTGCCTCTGCTTGAACTTAGGGGGCCCTTTGCGTGGGGTGGTGGGACCCTGGTTTGAAGTCGGAGGAGCCAGCACTGTATTGTCGCTCATTCTGCCGGTGTTTGGGTGGCTGATGGTTTTCTTTCAGGCTGTTTGAACAGTGAGAGAGAGAGAGAGAAAGATTCGTCAACGTATGATGACCGTTGCTTACTGTGATGACCTTTACAACAATCTTCGGGGGCAGGGGGACGCGGAGAAAAGCATCTTGATAAAGAAGCTCGGCATTTTGTGTTGACAGCAAAAGGGAGAAGTTACCATCTTTTAAAGAAGTTACCACCTAAGAAAATGAGGTATATGTCAATGGAGGCAGCCAGCAGAGTAGGCTATAAGCCAAAAACTGATAAATCTAGGTAGATTTGTTGTTCCAGTAAGTCTGCCAACAGCTTTCTGTGTGAATGTATAATAATTATGTCCTTTTCATTGACCACTAGTTCCACCATCTGTAACGGGAGAGAAATGTGCTAAAGACTGTCTAGACTTGGCAGCACTGAAATGTTCTGTAAGCTTTACATATTTTTCCACCTAACTATAAAGTAATCTGATTCTAAATGTTTATTGACCCATTCTTATGGCCCATTTTCTTTATGGCCCGTATTTTGTTTAATCCTCATGTGATCCAAAGACTTCTTTTCTAGTTATGGGAGGTGACAATGTAGTTGTCTGGATACGGGTAACTCTGAACCAAGTATACTGACACTACAAAAGCATTCAATACATTCCCGGTACACACACACACACACACACACACACACACAGAAGACAGCAAGAGGTGATTGAGTCGTAAGTTTGTGCTTTAACTCCCCTACCAGATAAGAAATTCTTTAGCCACTTATTTCTCAGGAATCTTCAACTTTTCTCCTGTCCAAATCAAGAACTTATCCAATATGGTTTTCCCAGACTTACATTTTAGTTACAAAAAGATACATTGTCATTCTTTAAGTACAAATAAAAGAACATAACAAATCACTGTTATTACATTTTACCATAACATGTGATAACCAATTAATATGAAACGCTAAACTAAAAGATTTTTTTTTCTTTTTCCTTTTCTATCACAAAAGTTGATAGTGCTTAATCTGGGAAGGGAGATTCTGAAAAAGCTCCAAAACCTTAAACTCCTACCTTGAACCAACCTCTTCCATGACCTACTGCCTGTTTTCATAGAATTGCATATTTCATCCATTATAAATGTATGCTAGTATCCTTAACTTCAGTTCTCCCTGACAATGCCAGTCTCATGAAACCATGTTTTCTCTCTCTCTCTGCTACAATAGTGAAAGTGAAAGTCACTCAGTCGTGTCCAACTACACAATCCATGAAGTTCTCCAGGCCAGAATACTGGAGTGGGTAGCCTTTCCCTTCTCCAGGGGAACTTGCCAACCCAGGGATTGAAGCCAGGTCTCCTGCATTGCAGGCTGATTCTTTACCAGTTGAACCACGAGGGGAGCCCAATAGACATCCCTCAAATCTTGCTCCAGGAGAGGAGTGGGAGCCCTTGGCCTTGCCCCCCCATCAGGGTGGGGGCCTCAGCAGAGAGGGCCTGACTGCCCTCTTTGCATCTGAACAGATGGATGCTGTGCTGCTCTCTTCACATTTCCATTTGGTGGCAGTGCCAGCAGGTGGGCCGTGGCCTCCAAGCCTCAGCCTTTCTGGCTGGCTGCTCCCCACGCTCCCCGTCACCTCCGTGCTCATCCCTGCAAGTGTGGGTGCTGAGGCTGCCCTGGGGAGACCCTCCTCCTGTTCTCCAGGTCAGAGACCCTCCTGCCTGCCCCAGGCCGTGTCTGGCACCTGCTGTGGCTCAATGCATGCCCGCAGGCTCTCTTACACCCGCTCCTTCTCTGTCTCATCTTGCAGGTTTTGGGGTTTGAGGCTGCATCCCTCAAATCTTACATTGTAAAATTTATCAACTGTTTCTTATGACTCTCAAAATCATGTTAAAATATTAATAAATCCTTGCCTCTAAGATGTTTTTCCTATTTTCTTTTCCTCAATCACTATTTTCATTCTCTCCTGCCAGTCTTCAACTTGTCTGAAAGAAACACATTGATGATGCTGTGAGCTAGAACCAAGAAGAGAATGAAGCTGGCCACATCCCTGGATCACCTGTGCATGCAGTGGATCTTGTCTTTTTTCTTTTTTTTAATATGTATATTTTCTGTTTTGGACCATTTTTTAAGTATTTATGGAGTTTGTTACAATATTGCCTTTTTTTTTTTTTTTAAGTTTTGGCTTTTTGGCCATGAGGCAGGAAGGATTCTTAGCTCCCTGACCACGGATTAAACCCACATCTCTGCATTGGAGGGTGATATCTTGACCAATCGACTGCCAGGGAAGTCCCCCGTCGATCTTGTCTTTATCCCTCACTGGAATATGCCCCATGAAGCTGTTTTTTCCAGTCTCTACTTATTCCGGTACCCTCAGAACCTACAAGAGTACCTGGTGTATAGTAGGTGCACCATATATATTTGTCCAATGAGTAATACATAAATGAAAAGGCTGAACTAATGCCTTGAACCTTGGGTCTTGAGATCCCGACCCTGTGACCGTCTCCATCAAGCCACAGGGAAGGCATCAGCTGATCCCCACCTCGTAAACCCCTCGGTGGTTTTGGGAAATGTTCTGCCAGCTCCTCTGCCCACTGAATCCAGTTCTGTGCTGCGGGCTCTCTCCTGCCCTGGTAAACAGGCCAAGTCTGTGCCTCTCCCTAGTATGTTTGGGACCAGGGGAATGGCTGGAGGGAAGCCAAGGGCAGCATTACCCTCACCCTGTGCCACCAGTGACTGACACATCCCGACTCTGCCAAAGCCACAGAGGAAAACTGGAGAATTACTCTCAGATCAACCTCTCTGGACTTCCCGATTGTTTTTAAGCAATGAGAAAGTACAAATGTTTCTCCAATCTAGAGACCCTACTAAGTTTAGGTTTGCCAGATTTAGCAACTCAAGATACAAGACATCCAGTTAAGTTTAAACTTCAGATAAGCAACTAATGATTTTTTTTTGTATAAGTATATCCCAAATATTTCATGGATTTCATGGTACATACTTAGAAACTGTTATTGTTTATATGAAATTCACATGTAACTGGGCATCTTCTATGATATCTGGCAACTGTAAGTGGGATCCTACTTTGTAAGACCCCAAATCTATAATGTGACTGGGTGGTAAAGAACCCACCTGCCAATAAAGAGGACGCAGGTTCAATCCCTGGGTCAGAAAGATCCCCTGGAGAAGGAAATGGCCATCCACTCCAGTATTCCTTCCTGAGAAATCCCATGGACAGAGGAGCCTGGTGGACTGCAGTCCATGGGATCACTTAAGAGTCAAACAGGACTTATTAACTAAACAACAGCAAAGATCACTTTCATCAGCCAAATCACCTTCTGGGGGCAAAACAGTGTAAAGAGTAGATGCTTTCAGATCAAATAGAAACAATTTCAAATTTCTACTCCACCAGACTGTTTAATATGAACTTGGATAAGCTGCATCACCTCTCTGGATCTCATTCTCTCTATAAAATGAATCAATTTTTTTTTTCTTTTTAGGGTAATGGGGAAAATAAGAGGGAACAATGTACAGCTTTTGGTGAAAAGTACTCAAAACGAAATAACTATGTAGTAGATCTTCTGACAGTCAAGGGAACCCTGAAAGCAAACTTATGTTTGCAGCGCAGGTTCACCTGAATCCACACCCATCCCCTAGGACCATGGGTTGACAAGTGCTTGACAAGTACCAGAGAGGTAATTGCTATCTTCACTTCCTGGGTAATCCTCTGCATCATTCAAACCCTCCAACTATTCCCCATTTCTGGTCTCAAAATTCCCTCTTAAGAAGCCGTCCTAGGATTCCTTTGATACCTCTAACAGTAACCCCAAAGAATTTGAAATTGACACTTGATTTCTATGTCCCCCTGATTATACTTCCTCTTTTCTCTGGCAAGTTTCTTTTGCATGTTTATCTCATTCTGAAGTTACAACTCTAGGCTGGGACTGAGTTCATGTCTAATTCTAAGTGCAATGCATTCTGTAAAAGAATTCTCAGAAAGTTATGTAACAGTTGCCTGGCTAATCCCTGGATCCTCATGGCACTCAAGATTTGCCCTATGAATAACTGTTTTTACATTTATTGCGCATTTCAGGTACAGTATTTCATTTCTGAGTGTGTAAGACAGTCCACCAATCACTAGGGTGTTTCTCGCATAGACTTACCCCCCATTTTTCCCTGTAAAACCCTTGGGAGGAGCAGAACAAATATGACCCTGTCCTGCCTTGGAAGTCAGTCCTGTCAGCCCCAGGTATCACCAATGGCTGAACTTATGCTGACCATGTTTTCCTAGGAACTCCAAGGGCCTCCATGGAGCTGAATAAACCTGAATCCGGTATCAGGCATGATTTTAGCCCCAAGTGGACGTTTCACATTTTTGCCTCCAAAAGGGTCAAGTAATTCATTCCTTTGGGAGGCAGAATGTTTTCCTGTTTTTAAAACAATGCTAGCCCTTTCCCTTTTGAAGATTACAAAGTGTTCTCCTGAATAAAGAAGTGGGTGCAGCAATGTAAGATTTCAAGGCATAGTTTTGCAGGGCACTGAGCTTGGCATTGCCTTAGTCCCAAGACAGCAGAGCTCAGTTGTAGGAAGCAAGAGGGTGATGCTCCATAAATTCCAACTAAATAAGGGCAGTTTCTGAAGATTCGTGAGTCAGGCTTTCAGATGCTGTGATTATCATCCTAGACTTCTTCTCCCTCTTTCTTAGCAAAGACATGAGCAGATAACCAATTCTGTTGTTGATGGCCAAGGATGGGGAGAAGACAGGTAGAGGACCCGTCTCCTCCTCTGATGCCATCGGACCCACAGATGTCACCCAGGGTCCTGCTGAGGCAGAGAAAATCAAATAATTCAGAGTCAAAGACCCAAACCAAAGCCATGAAAAAACAAAAACAAAAATCCAGCAAGTACGTTGCTTCATCTAGGAACAAACAGACACTTTCACCTTGGAGGGAGATGGCTGGGTGCACCTTCCTTGCACTGCGGTCATTTCCTGGCTGACTCTGGGCT